TTAGGGGATCAATTGATACAAAAAAAAAAAAGTTCAGGGACTTGATTGATACAAAAATTATAATTTGTGCACTATAAATGTAATTTACTCTTATTATTACTCCAAAAATATGTTCAAACTAATCGTAATTTTTACCCATTCAAACATGACATTTAGATTACTCTATATCATAAAAAACTATAATGGTCCCTTCAATCTTCATTGAATTGGACATGTGCATGGGTTCAAATTTGACATTATCCACACAAATAGAGGATTGGACAGGAATCAAACATATTTATCATTTCTTGGTTGAATTTCATTGCATTGTGGATTCAAAATTCAATCCTGATCAATTCTCATGTAGGGGCGGAGCCAAAGTCTATTTTAAATGGGGGCAACTATTAAGTTGAAGAAAACGATTGAAGAACAATCATCAAACTTTATTATGTCATGTAAATATGAGTGTTTTTTCATTTAAACTTTTTATAAATAATTCTTAATGTTAATATTTTGCTTTGTTGTTTTAAAAGTCTTTCACACAGAAAGTACGTGGAAAAAGATAGAACTTAATTAAGAAAATTTATGCAAAAGTTATTTTATAAAATGTACTAGTGTTAGAATAATTTTCATATTTTGACAAATCATTATGTAATCAAACTATAAATAGGCATGGCAATTATCAGATTTCAAGTGATTCGAATCCAAGTTTAATTTGAAAACTCTATTTTTGAATTTGATCTAATTATCCAATTATTTTGGTCTTTACAATCCATATCCATTAAATATTAGAAATTTGATCTAAAAATAAATCTTTCTATACTACTTTAAAATATCATGATACATGAAAAACATTTTTTTTTTCTATCTTTACTCTAAAATTGTCACTATGTCCTTCATATCCATCATATTAAATGGTTGACAAGCCCTAATTACCTATCTCCGTTCTCTCCTTTTCCAGCTGTTTGTGTGTCTCTCTCTCCCCTATGTGCTCACTATTCTCACCCGTCTTTTTGCCTCTCAGTCTCTCTCCTTTTCGCAATCATTACTCTCTCTCTCTCTCTTCAAAAATTACCCAGCACCTCAACGGAAACCATCCATTTCCATTAGTTACTCCATCCCTCTCTCTCTCCCTCTCCCTCTCCCTCTCCCTCTCCCTTGTGAACTGACAAATTGTCCATTAACAGCCCTCCATTCCCCTTCTCCGTTTGAGCCTTTCAGTTCTCCACTGCCTCCTATCGTCCCGAATAATCGTATTACGACTACGATCTTCTCTCATTGATTTTCAAACAAAAATCTCCATAGTTGTTAATACCCAACAATTTCAACATTTCACTATCAAAATTGACCCTTTCAGAATCAACTATTGTATTTATCCTTTACACATGAGTGCAGAGATTTCAGTTTTTTCGTCGAAAGTCACACACAAATATATATATATATATATACATAGTTAGTTGTCTGTGATATGAAACTGTCATTGTTGGGCTATTATACTGTCCTTCTATTGATCTACAGATAAATGCTTAGTACTTCCATAGGAAAAGATTTTTACCGATGGTTAAAGTGTTTTTTCTCAATTTAACGAAATCCATAATTTTTGAAAATTACACAATTATTAGTTAGGTTGATTCTTTATTTTGCATTTTTGGAGAAATGTAGATATTAGCTATTAATAGTTCAAACAAAATGAATTAGCTTGTATTTTACAAAATTAATTAACTTGTGTTTCGAGTATATTATTTAATTCCTTCACATTCAAGCGTATCATTGGTTTGTTCAACTGATTATGCAGTTGTGTCCTAGGCAAGTTCTTGAGGTATTAAATTTCTGAAAAGATATTGCTGACATCAAAACAAGTGAGCGAAACCTTGTACGACAACAATTGTATGTTAACTCAGGATCAATAACCGTTGTGATTGTGATTAGAGATGGATGATATCTCTTCATTACATGTGCAATGACTGGTCCTTTTTTTTTTTGCAGTTTGACTAATGTTGTGTAATTTTGATTAGTGGCACACCCCATAGTATCTGCTAAATGAGTAAGTATTGAATTGTTATGCTATTGGGACTTACACATCAAGCAAAGCATCGTACTATTGGCTAACAATTTACCTTTTGTTGGACTTGTGATATTTTTCTATTTTAGACAGATTCTATGTTGGTAACATTGTTTCTAGCTAGGGAACACACTTTTATATCAAAGTAATGAAAGTTGATGTTCCTTGAGCATAGATCAGTGTTATTAGTATTAAACAGTCGGGTGTATTACAATATTATCTTGTTCCATCAGTCTACCAACAAGGACCTTGTATTTTTATGCTAAGTGTGAGTATGTGATTTGATTATGCCATCAAATTCATTCTTTTTCCGATAGGTCCAATGCTATTCGTTATTTTAAGTTGAGACTTCAAGTCATTCAAATTGCTATTAATTATTTTACGTTGAGACTTCAAGTCATTCAAATTTATTAATGGGTGTTGTTTGGGATTATATTTCTTTGGTAAGAGAATGCAAGCAATGTAAATCAATATTAGAGATTTGAGTTATAATTTTTTACTATATTCAAGTTGGATATTTGAAGATGTCCCTTAGATTGGAATTGTAGAGTGTAATTTCATTTATCGTCCAAAATAATTCATGTGTAACGCACGTGTACATCAATTAGTATATATACATGTGTACTTGTGTTTTTATAAATTAAACAAATTCACAATTAAGTTAAATTTTGGTATATCTAAATCTAAAATTTTGAAATATAATAACATATTCAAAATTGGATAATCGATTAAACATATCAATTCATATCTAGATAATCAAATTTAGAAGAGGATGAGTTTGATAACTTAATGTGTTGTTGTAGAATGAAGATAAATAGCTAGAGAGTAAAAAAAGAATTGTAAAATTAAGTCTCATGAACTTTAAAAAAATTCAGTGGGGGCAAGTATTGAAAATTTTTATTTTTCTTATAATTTTAAATTAGCCCCAAATTTTTTCCAATTTTTAGTGGGGGCACTTGCCCATTTTGATCCAGTGTGGACTCCAAAATTTAGATTTGTGTACTTTTTTTTGTATTTCATGTTTGTACTTTGCATCCTTCGGGAGGCTTGACTTAATAGTAAATAGAATTGACATTAATCTGACTCCCTTAGCAGTGATAAGAGGTTGTCGATATGTTGGCTTTTGGACATTTCATGCTCCTGAATTGACTTATTTATTCTCAGCTAGTTCTTCCCTATGTTAGAGGGAAATAGTTCGAATTTTGACAACTCTTTTAAAGTCAGGTTATGAAGAATTTATTCCTCATGAATATCATAATCTCAACGTAAATGGTCTGCTTTTAATCAAACAAGAGAGAGAATTAATTGAGATGTACGTAAATTGACTCGAACACCTCTGACCATTAAGCCTTAGAAAGAGAATGAAAAGTTACAACTAGGATACAAATGAAGAGTTTAATTATCATGCAAATTGAACATAAAAATTTGATCAACTTGTGTCTATCTAAAATAAAATCTGAATTTTAGCCCGAATACCGAAATCGAGAGNATTGAACATAAAAATTTGATCAACTTGTGTCTATCTAAAATAAAATCTGAATTTTAGCCCGAATACCGAAATCGAGAGTCAAATTTGGGTTCTAACCCGTGTTCGATTTATGTTCAGTTTGAATCGAACCTAAATTCTTGTTAGAATTGTGTTATTCCACAACTAAATTTGAGTTGAATCCAAATTTATCCTGAATTGTTTAACCTAATTTTCACCTTCAAATATGAGTAGTAGACAGGTTGAAGAGTTAAAAAAGGCAAACTCAAATTGAGGTTAAAGTTGGAGCACCTTTCTATAATGAAAATTACGGTCGTTACCATAATAATAGCTATAATTATGGAGTGGACCCACACAAATTGAAGAGTTTACTAAAAAAGTTGAACAGTCAAAGGTAAACGACAAAAGCGCGGGACACCAACCCTCAAAAGGTATGCAAAGCAAAACACTCCACTTAACAGGTCATCTTTGCGTTTAATCCACACCCACTAATTGTTTGTTTGTTCGCATCTCATAAAGGTATCTTTAATTAATTCATTATTCCATCCGCCGCACATCACCATTTTCCAAATGCATTGGTCTACACTCTACTCTATAGATAACATTCCCTTTATTGAATTCAGAAATACTAAAGAAGATGACAACGTTTCCACCTAGAACAGTGAAAGCAATGGTTTAGCCACTGTGCAATGCACACCAATTATTGCAACAGAGTGGATGAATTTTTACCGTCTCTATTTCTTTCATATATTTGCTCCAGTCTCAATAAAATCTTATTGTTTTTTTTTTTCATAAAGAAGAAGAAGATGAAGAAGTACATGGCGCGCATTCCAAGTCAAGTCAGAAGTCTTTTAATATTTTAACGCATTAAATAAGAACAAGAGTATTACATTACTCTTCTACGTAATGCCATAATTTATGTTTAAACAATACAAGTGGGGTTTAAACGTTCAATCATATCTAAAAACGTGTTTTGGAAATCATACATTTAAATACATCACATTCTTTTATATTAAAAGTATAGGTTTAAACAATGATATACTATAGAATAGAAATTATGATATAATGGAATAAAAGTAAAAAAAAAAACGTCGAATGATAACAAATGCATGAGGTAAAAGTTTTTCCTGGCAATCTTTATGGGTGATTTAATGATTGAATCTATCATTTGATAATTCATAAACTTTAAGTTCAATATCTTCTTATATTCTTTAAGGATTCCCTAGCCATGATTTTTTTTTTTTCAGAGATATACTTTAACCCAGGTCAAACTAAGGTAACTAACTACTAAACTCAAGAAAATATAATTTGATATTTTTTATCAATAATCTCCTGTTCCATCTAATCTAAGTACGGAAAAGTTGGGACCACGTGAAAAAGTACAAAACTAAACAATCATCGTTATAAATAAAAGACACAAGATTGCCTGCATACGCCTAGCCTACCAATTGGGACTGTGTTTTTCTATCTCCGATGGAAGCGAAACCACATGATGGGTGTTCTGTAACCATACCGCTACTGCTTGGCAATGATGAGAAGCAGCATGAGCTTAGTTTGGAAGAAGCTGAGGGAGTGGATTCAATAGCTTGCCACTCCATTACAGGCACAACCTCCTTCTTCAAGACCTGTTTTAATGGTCTCAACGCTTTATCAGGTTTTTCTTCTTCTTTTTCGTCGTTGTTCTGTTCCTTTTATGTTTAGTTTTATTGTGTGTTAGGAACTTATTGTGTATCTGTTTGTGATTTTGTGACTGCTCAGCTATGCCTTATTACTCCTAATCATTCAATCATTGATAAATTGATGTGATACTATATATGAAGTGCTCTATTTTACAAGTCCCAATTTTATCTCGTTTAGACTTACATGTCTATCTGATATAATCAGCCCTACCTTGAGGAGGTGAAGACCCAGCTTAAATCTACTATCTACTTGTTGTAATAATAATAATAATGATAAATTTGAAAAAAAANTTTATCTCGTTTAGACTTACATGTCTATCTGATATAATCAGCCCTACCTTGAGGAGGTGAAGACCCAGCTTAAATCTACTATCTACTTGTTGTAATAATAATAATAATGATAAATTTGAAAAAAAAAAAAACCTTATCCGTTAACCCAAATAGTACTTCGCTATTGGGTGATGTATAATGCTAAACATAGTCCTGATTGTTTTTCATGTGCTTCAACAATTATTTCTCAGGAGTTGGAATATAATCGGTACCATATGCATTAGCATCAGGAGGGTGGTTAAGCTTGACAGCACATCCTTCTACACAGGCTTGTTAATTCCAAGGTGTATGGATATAGATACATCTATAAGAAGCTATCCTGATATCGGCGAACGAGCATTTGGTACAAAAGGAAGAATTTTTGTATCCTTTATCATGAATTCTGAACTCTACTTGGTTGCAACAAGTTTCCTAATTGTAGAAGGGGATAATCTGTGTAACTTATTTCCAGACATGGGAGTTCTTGAAATTTTCGGGCTTAGCATTGGTGGAAGACAATGCTTTGTTCTAATTGTTGGCCTCATTATACTCCCTACTGTTTGGTTAAACAGCATAAGCTTTCTCTCATATATCTCTGCCACTGGAGTTTTAGCTTCTTTCCTCATCCTCGATTCGATTTTGTGGGCTGGCGCGCTTGATGGCATTGGATTTCAAGAAAATGGAATGCTTCTGAATTGGAATGGAATACCTACCTCTGTTAGCCTATTCCCGTTTTGTTATTGAGCTCATCCGGTTTTCCCCACCCTACACACGTCTATGAGAAATCCAAAACACTTCTATAAGGTAAAGCAAGGTTTTCGAATCATACCTCGAGTCCTTTAGACCTTTGGATTACTGATTTTGACTCCATGGTCTTCATTGCAGGTCTTGCTCCCATGCTTTCTGTTGTGTACCATTACCTACGCATCAATGGAAGTTTTTGGGTACCTAATGTTTGGTTCACAGGTAGAGTCACAAGTAACATTAAACCTTCCAACCGAGAAAATAGTTCAAGAGGCAATTTACACCAGCCTGGTGAATCCCATTTCAAAATATGCATTGATGGTTATGCCAATTGTCCATGCTGCTGAAAATCGATTGAGATCTTGTTGCAATAGAAGATGGTTGAGCTTTGTGATCAGCATCACCATGGTGGTCAGCAGCGTCGTTGTAGCGTTGGCCATCCCCTTTTTTGGGCTTCTCATGTCACTTGTTGGAGCACTTTTGAGTGTCAGGTTCGATTTTGCTTCCGTGTTTGTGCTATTTGAAGATTTTTGGTACATATCAGTAATTTCGATTTGAATTAGTGTTGATATGTGGAATTGTAGTTATGGGCCTCTTGATTGGAATCACCGGCTCTTACACGTCTTTAGAACAAATAATAGAACACTTGTAACGATTTTGGCTTTGTATCCAGTTTTCAATAAATTTTGTTTTATAATTTGCTATCATTTTTAGACATGAATGCATTTCACACTTATTAATTAAACCTGTTTGAAAACCAAAACTTAAATTCTCTCAATATGTTAAGTGCTCCTTAAAAATATGCTACAATATTAAGTATGAGATCTCTTACTTAATTCTAAAAGTTGAAAGCGATTAGCAAAACTTTTTTAATAATATTTAAAATATGACAACTATGTCCCAAAATATTTTACAATCCTATTAAAACTTTAATTAGTCTTCTCTCCAAAATCCCTAACTTATCTATCCTCCTAGGTGATCGTCTTCTTTAGCGGGTAACATGTAAATTTCTTCCTTGTCTTCTTTTTTTTCCATTCCTCGTGTTGTCCAACAAAAAAAAATACATATATAATTACACACATATTTTATAAATATTTTTAAATTAAAGAATAGAAGGGTAAAACTAAAAATTAATTTATTTTCAAACGTCAACTCTGTGTATTTATCAAACAGTTTGGTTTAATTAAGTACTTAAATCAATTTATTTTCTAGAGGATTTGTCAGATGTGGTGAAACTAGCTAGACCAGAAAAGCCCACATGAGGAAAGCCCGAGCTAAAGATATTCTGGAGATACAGTCTGCATCCAAAACACCCCCCGGCTAAGCATGGAGATCATGTTCACGGACTCAGATTTGGAAAGTTTCCAACACCCTCATGACGATCCTTTAGTTGCAAAGGCTATCATTGTCAATAGAATCATTTAAAACTTCACAAGAAAGATTAATACAATATTCAACATATCCATTTCATTGATACGAAGAACGTTAAATACAATTAATTGATACTCACATGTGTTGCACTTGAATTATTCTAAATATAAATTATTATATATAATTATTTAAAATATTTTGCATGTAAATCATTTGAATATAAATTATTCTATATAATTATTATCAAAATTTTGTTTATTCCAAAGTTTAGGACATTCATAGAGGAATGAAATTGCGAAGTCACTTGAATTTTGTTATTACTGGATATCAAAAAACAATTCACCTTCTCTCCACCTTCCTTCCTCTTCTCCCTATTGTTTCATTTGAAGAGTTGTGAAAGAATGAATAAAGCAAATATTGCATCGCCTCATCAATCATCCATAACTAGTGATGTAGTTGTTGTAAATAATTGGTGATGTTTACTCAAACCTTTGGGTGATGAAGATTACGGGATGATAAGTATATTTCCGCAACTGACAAAAAGTACATTTCTCATAATTTATTTTTAGTTTTTCATATTTCTTGTTGGAAATTTACTAACTCACATTTATGTGTTGTATACATACCTCGCGTAGTGGGATAGGAATTCATTCGTTCTTAGCCCCAAAACACTCGAGTAAAGCCTTTTTCTAAATCAAACATACCTTGCTTTCAATTTGATATAAGATAATTAGATAATAAGTCTAATTTACAAGTATGAACCAATCGATTGTTGACCACTTCTGTTTCAATTGTGCAAAAAATGAGAGAAGAATTCTTTCTTTGAGGGCTTTTCATGATTATCTTGTACATGACACGAAACAGAATGGCTTCCATGGAGAGCAAGGATGCTAATACTCTTTCCAAGCCTATCCATTTGGCTATCAAAAACAGAATGACTTCCATCAAGTTCAACCCTTCTGAGACTAATCTGCAACTGGCACTCCATTGGGACCTATTACTTGAATGTTTTGTTTAATTGTTGAATGATGCATTTTGCTAGGAGTTATCCTTTTGTTTCCTTGGGTGTTCCTTTGCTTGTATTGATACGCCTTGTTCATCCCCTGTTTCAATATAATTTATTTACCTTTCAAAAAAAAGACATGAAATTGTTAGTTGTCGAGTTCATATTCACTGGCAGCTATTCTAGACTTTTAAAGTTTTTTCGTTATAGAATAATGTAATGAGTTGTGTTGTAGACTTGTCTAGAGTTGAATTCACTCGGCCTTAAAAGATAACCCTTTTTTTAATGAGAATGACACCTGTGTGAGTTTTAATTGCTTCATGATGTTGCATGAGTTCTTTAATGCTACCCATGGAATTTTTCTATATTTGGATTGGAAAGCAGCACAAGAATTAGATTAGTGATTCCAGTTTGGTGTGAGGAGCTTCTCACTTTTTTGCTTAATATCAGGATTACAGCACTATGAAAGTCTTTATCTTTTTTTTTTCCTTGGAGGGGGAGGGGGCAGGAAAGTCTTGATCTCAATCTGTCTCTCAACCGAAAATTCATTCACAGCCAGTTGCTCCTCATAGTCATTGATAGGACTCTTGTATAATGTAGTCTAATTTGTAACTAAGTATTAAATCCAATACTTAAACATGCTAAAGAATTATTATAAAAAACAAAACTTTAATAAATACTCATAAAAATAAGACACGGAGAAAATTTCCATCACCATCACCATCACCACGAACCCCCCTCAAAAATGGATTGAAGTTAAGATAGATTTGTGTTCAAGTGGCACAAGACCTTCAATTGATCATAGGGCGTACTCTACCCAAAGGCACAATTAACTATTATAGGAGGATGCCCACAACCCTTCCTCAACCCAAAAAAGTTGTAGCAATTCAACCATTGAATGTTGTCCAAACTTCGTCATTGTACAAACTTCTCTGTATGGGTGAGTGACAAATTAAGGGCCCTTGAAGGGGTTCCAACAGGTTTTTTATGTTCCAGCCTAATAAAGTCAAATTCCATTTTGCTATTTTTTCTACTTTATCTTGTGTGGTTGTTTTTTTTTTTGGGGGGGGGGGGTGTGTGTTTGCGAAAGGCCATTAAAAGGATTCAACAATTTTTAATAAATTTAAGTACATTAATTAACAATATATTCATTTTGCATTGCTTGTACCTTTGCCAAGTGCCAACACAAGTTTATGAACATAAATAGCAATAGAGTGCATGAAGATTCGAATACCCATCACATAATAGACAAAATTTTTAAAGCCAAATTAATAACTATTAACAAATCTTATCCAACATATAATTTTGTAGAGATGTCCAACCAACTTAAACATACAAAAAACCAATACCATAAAATAAATTCAAAATCCAATTCAACAAAAGATCACAAAAGACTATTATGAGAAGTCTCTTGGGGAACCAAACCCCAAAATCGGAAAACAAATTGGAAACTCAAAACAAGTACGAAATTAGATGAACACATAGATGCAATGAGAAACATAAACCTGAACACTGGCATCGACATGATTTTGTTGTCTATTTTTGGTCTTCCTCTTACCATCCTTTGGTCAGCTGTGTTCGACTGCGGTATTTTTTGATCAAATTCATACAACGGAGAGGTTAAACAACCAAAAAAATGTTAGTATTATGTAACTAAAGAAAAAAGGTTTTGAAGGCTCACTCAGAGAGTTGTTGGATTGAATAAACCACCTTGGGTAGTTATGAAACTCGAATGGAATCCTCAACAGCCAAGAACACCACAGTCCGCCGCAGCAAAATTCCTCAAGTCATTGTGAAAGAAAGATTAACGATCATATGTATATATATATGTTGCATCACTTGCATGCTGCCTCAAAAGGATGTCTAAAATAAAGGATATAACCGAAGGGGAAGGGGAAGGGAAAGGAAAGGAACAGGGAGCAAGAGAGACGATAACAGGTGAGAAATATGTTTGAAGTGATTATTAGGTTTATTGTATTATTAAATTATGGAAGATAAGGATGGTATAGTTATGTTAGTGGAGGGTAAACGTGAAAAAAAAAGTTTTTCAAATATACTGATATTGTAAAATAGTATAGATAAAACAAAAACCACCTTAATAACTAATTTAACCAATGACTCAACTATCTTAGTAACCACCTACAAAATATTCTATCACTAATTCAATTACTAAAATAGCTCTCTAATAATTACCTCAAATTATATATAAAAAATATATTAAAAATGTGCACATAACAATCTTGCTACAAAGATGGTGGAGCTTTGATCAACACCACCTTGGTGATTAGCAACGTCGTTGTAGCCCGAGCCGTCCTCTATTTTGGGAACGTCAAGTAATTTGTTGGAGTACTTTTGAGTGTCACAGATTCGATTTTGCTTCCATGTCTGGGCAATTTGAAGATTTATGGAACTTATCAAGAATTAATGATGGTATGTGGAATTGTAGACTTGTAGTTATGGGCTTCTTGATGGGAATCATAGGCTCTTTGTTGTGATCGTGCATCAATTATGGTGAATAGTAAGGAATCAAACAATTAAGAAAGCAGGAGAAAATAACACACAGAGATTTACGTGGTTCGGCAATGTGCCTACATCCACGAGAGCGAGCGGCTGTTCTTTTCCTTATTGAAGTAGGGTTACATTTTAAGTATTTATATAACCCTAATATGGACGTATTTACAAAAATACCCCTGTACCGTACCGCGGGGCGTTGCCCCCGCACCCCCAACTTATCAGCGTCCCCTATATATAAATCCCGCAAGGCAGATGCCGTCGCGGGCTCCGCTCCGGCATCTGCCTCCTTGCCATTATGCACATAACAAAATATGAGCCACACATACTCTAACACTCTTACACTTCTTTAGTACAAATATTGGAACACTTTTAAGGACACAGGTTTTGAGTTTAATGTTCAATTTGTTTTTGTTGAAAATATTTGATGACCATAACATTTATAACAAAATAGAACCAAAAGAAAAAAAAAACATGTTGGGTTAATAGATTTATTTTTCTTGTTGAATAATATACACAAGTTGAAAGTTGTGGTTTGTCTAAAAAGGATAATGTCATATTTACCAAAAATATTTTGATCAATATTTGGTGGGTCCGAGAGTGATATGCAACTGATAACTCATTTGGTAAAAGTATTTTTTGGTAAATTTTTTTGTAGGCATAACATTTTGTA